TTGAAAACTCACATTTATTTATAAAATAAAATTAATGATTTAATAAATATAAATAATAAAAGGTGATTTTTAGAAGAGGTGTTAATAGTTATTTGGAATATATATATTATTATTACAAAAAAGTATATATCAAAAATACAAATAGAATACACTTTTTATAGAGTAAATAGATATGTATATATATAAAGATGACGTTGATACAGCCACCTAGAGTTTTATGAAATTTTATGCGAATGTATAGGAGAGAGAGAGAGAAAAAACAGCGTTGAATAATAAAAAGAGTTAATGTTGAGTGTTCTATTTATTTATTTTTCATTTCTCGACTCTAGCTAGATTGGTTCGACCAAATGAGTGAGTACATTCCTCGAGTAAAAAACAAAAATATTATAATTAAATAATTTTTTTTTGAAAGAAATTGACTTGGGGTATGGCAACTAATAGTACTACAATGCTGCTTTTCTGTAAAAGTTCTGTGCTGCTTGACAAGGGGTATGCCGATTTCTTAGGGGTCACTGCTGTAGATATGATCGGAGTTTTACCTCATTTGTGTGTGGGAGAGTGTTTTGCACAGATTTCCTGAATTAATTGGGACAAAACTCTAAACATCGCGATTATCCAAAAAAACAAGAACTGAAAACAAGAAGACCATCCGCTGAACAACACTACAGTTTTTCATCAATGGTAAGACCTCTAATGAAAGATTACCGAAGGTCTACCCGATGTGTAGACATGGCGAAAGCTAAACAAATCATGACAGAAGTTGATGCTTTTTGTTTGGGATGAAGAGTATCCAATGGAGAAGCATATATCTTACGCTTAACCTCAAAATTATTTGAACTCAAAAAGCATTGTACTCATTAAAAAAAAAAAACAAAAACAAAATGGACTATATAAGTGCATAATAATATAAGATAAAAATGAGAAAACAATGCAACAATATTACTTGGTTCACCCAGAGAAGTAGAATTCTTCTTATTAAGCATGTCTCAATAAAAAAAATCACAACACAATAAATAGTTATAATATTGTTCTAGTTAAGACAAATTTATGTAATTTGTTTTTTTTATAAATTAATCTGGTGAGTGATTGGTGATAGTCCGAAGGTCTACCCGATGTGTAGACATGGCGAAAGCTAAACAAATCATGACAGAAGTTGATGCTTTTTGTTTGGGATGAAGAGTATCCAATGGAGAAGCATATATCTTACGCTTAACCTCAAAATTATTTGAACTCAAAAAGCATTGTACTCATTAAAAAAAAAAAACAAAAACAAAATGGACTATATAAGTGCATAATAATATAAGATAAAAATGAGAAAACAATGCAACAATATTACTTGGTTCACCCAGAGAAGTAGAATTCTTCTTATTAAGCATGTCTCAATAAAAAAATCACAACACAATAAATAGTTATAATATTGTTCTAGTTAAGACAAATCTCATTTAAGAAAAATCAGTAGTATCAATTAGGGATCACGATTTAAGAAAACTATCACCAATCACTCACCATATTAATTTATAAAAAAAACAAATTACATAAATCTTCTTCTATGCTAACAATAATAATATAAATATAAGGACAATACTTTGGTTCTCTTAAAAGAGAATCAACTTCATCTCGTGGACCAATAAAATTTTGATACTTGTCTAAAATAAATATAATTTGAAAATGGATATTATTCATCGGGTTAAACCGAATTTTTTTTTTTTTTTTCATTTTGAGTAATGATTATCTTCTCTCATAATACTGTTCAACTCTTCAATGGGTAACTCTATTCAGTTTGACACCACCACCAACGACGACAACAACAACCAAATCAACAACCCTCCAAATCCATTCAATCAATCCCACCGGTATCCACATCAATCACAGATCCATCACTTCATCCCAAAACAATTTTATTCGTTCTACATAAGTATCTAAATTTTATAGGTCTACCACGGCAGCACACGGAGACGTACCCAAGTGTTGTGCTAAATATAATTCAGATCCATGTATTAAGGACAATTAACAAAGCTGTTACTGTTACTGTTACTGTTACTGTAAGTTTCTTCTCCATAGACATTGGCATGTAGTCAACAAAAGCTGTTACTGTTACTGTAAGTTTCTTCTCCATAGACATTGGCATGTAGTCAACAAAATCAACTAGGTATGACGATAATATAGTACATATTATTGGTAGGTTTTGTTTTTGAGTGCTAACCAAGAAATTCTCCCGTTGACCAAGTCAATTTTGTTTAGGTCGCATCCAGTATACATGTCACAAGATGGCCCACAATTAGTAGTTATTTGGAAGGTCAAATTTATTTATTAAAATAAATTAAATAATTTAATTGTATATAAATAATAAAAGGTTTGAAAATTATATATTATTATTATAAAAAAGTATATATAAAAAATACAAAGTGCAGTTAAAAGGTGACTTTTAGAAAATGTGTTAGTAGTTATTTGAAAAGTTGTATTTATTTATTAAATAAAATTAATGATTTAATAAATATCAATAATAAAAGGTGACTTTTAGAATAGGTGTTAATAGTTATTTGAAAAGTATATATTATTATTACAAAAAAGTGTATATCAAAAATACAAATAAAATACACTTTTTATAGAGTAAATAGATATACAAAGATGACGTTGATACAGCCACCTAGAGTTTTATGAAATTTTATGCAAATGTTTAGTGATAGATTCTTCAAATTTTTAAAGAGAAATGTTGAGTGTTCTAAAAGTGGATTTATTTTACTTGCAAGAGAGAGAGAGAGAGAGAGAGAGAGAGAGAGAGAGAAAACAGAGTTGAATAATAAAAAGAGTTAATGTTGAGTGTTCTATTTATTTATTTTTTATTTCTCGACTCAAGCTAGATTGGTTCGACCAAATGAGGGAGTACATTCCTCTAGTAAAAAACAAAAATATTATAATTAAATAATTTTTTTTTGAAAGAAATTGACTTGGGGTATGGCAGCTATTAATACTACAATGCTGCTTGTCTGTAAAAGTTCTGTGCTGCTTGACAAGGGGTATGCCAATTTCTTAGGATCACTGCTGTAGATATGATCAGAGTTTTACCTCATTCGTGTGTGAGAGGGTGTTTTGCACATATTTCGTGAAATAAGTGGGACAAAACCCTAAATACTTCAATTATTGAAAAAAAAAAAACCTTCAAGGGAGTAGATTGTGATGACCCTGTAGGCGGGTGTGTCGTGGGTGGGTGCGAGAGATACTGACTGACAGGCCACATCGCCTGAGAGAGGAAAAGGTGAAGTACTTATATATAGGTGTGCCACTCCAATTAGTATGAGATCTTTTGGAATAAAGCCCAAGAGTCACGGCACACTTGCCCACAGGATTATCACAAGAAGACCATCCGCATAACAACACTACAGTTTTTCATCAATGGTAAGACCTCTAATGAAAGATTACCGAAGGTCTCCCCGATGTGTAGACATGGCGAAAGCTAAACAAATGATGACAGAAGTTGATGCTTTTTGTTTGGGACGAAGAGTATCCAATGGAGAAGCATATATCTTACACTAGACCTCAAAATTATTTGAACTCAAAAAGCATTGTACTCATTAAAAAAAAAAAAAAACACAAGATGGACTATATAAGTGCAGAATAATATAAGATAAAAATGAGAAGACAATGCAAAATATTACTGGGTTCTCCCAAAGGAGTAGAATTCTTCTTATTAAGCATGTCTCAATAAAAAAATCACAACACAATAAATAATTACAATATTGTTCTAATTAAGACAAATCCTCATTTAAGAAAAATCAGTAGTATCAATTAGGAATCAGATTTAAGGAAACTATCACCAATGACTCACCATATCAATTTATAAAAAAAACAAATTACATAAATCTTCTTCTATGCCAACAATAATAATATAAATATAAGGATAGGACTTTGGTTCTCTTAAAAGAGAATCAACTTCATCTCGTGGATCAATAAAATTTCGATACTTGTCTAAAATAGATATAATTTGAAGATGAATATTATCCATCGAGTTAAACCGTATTTTTTTTTTTTTTCATTTTGAGTAATGATTATCTTCTCTCGTAACACTGTTCAGCTCTTCAATCATTGACTCTATTCAGTTTGACACCACCACCAACAACAACAACCAAATCAACAACCCTCCAAATCCATTCAATCAATCCCACCGGTATCCACATCAATCACAGATTCATCACTTCATTCCAAAACAATTTTATTCGTTCTGTACAAGTATCTAAATTTTATAGGTTTACCTCGGCAGCACACGGAGAAGGACCCGAGTCTTGTGCTAAATATAATTCAGATCCATGTATCAAGGACAATTAACAAAACTGTTAGTGTTACTGTAAGTTTCTTCTCCATAGACATAGGCATGTAGTCAACAAAAGCAACTAGGTATGATGATAATATAGTACATATTATTGGTAGGTTTTGTTTTAGAGTGTTCACCAAGAAATTCACCCGTTGACCAAGTCAATTTTGTTTAGGTCGCATCCAGAATACATGTCACAATATGGCCCACAGTTTTAGTGGGAGACAATCCAACCACAAAAATAAAAATAATTCATAAATTTACAATCCCAATAAATAATTCAATCTAAGGGACCATGTTGTCCACAAGTGTGTCATGACAAAGTCTAACACAAAATAAAAATGGTTAGTCCACACAAGACACTTTTCCTCCCTCCTCGGTGAGAGGGCAAATTTTTATTTTTAAAAAAATAAAAATTCATTATTTTCACATATTTATAAATTATAAATTATACATAAATAAATTTTGATTTCAAAATGTGAGGAGGTGGAATGGGCTCCACCCACATGGTATATACCAATATAGTCAAAGGAAAAACAGACGTGTTATGTCTTTTTCTTTGTGTCTACTTAGTATTGTTTTTATCTCATTACTCAATATGATAATGATTTTAGACCATGAGAGTAATTTTCTCAAGTACCAAGTGCATTTTCATAAATCACCCTTACATATGAATGCATGCGTGTGTAATATATATAGATATGTAGTGAAGTGGAAGATATGTGTATTATTAGCTAGGGCAAGAAAATAACGAAGATGGAAGGAAAGAGAGCGATAGGTAGGTCATCAAGAGCTTGTGTTGTGTTGTTGGTGGCATTAATGGGTGTTGTTGTTATGTGGAATGCAGGGAGTGTTGGGGCTCTCACAGAAGCTCAGTGCCATGAAGAGAGGAATATATTGGTGAGTGCATGTAAGCCTGTGCTGACAAGAAAGCCCCCAAGCCCATTTTGCTGTGAAAGAGTGAGGGTTACCCATGTTGAATGTGTTTGTTCTGTTATTACACCTAAACTGGCACCTCTCATCGATGTTAATTATGCTATCAAAGTCGTTCAGGGTTGTGGACGCCAAGTCCCTCGCCATTACAAGTGTGGAAGTAAGCTCTAATATCCTCCTCTTTCTATATATATATATATGGGATAATTACACAAACAAGTAGTTTAATTTGGAGGCCAATTTACAAAGTAAACGTTTTTTACAATCATGGATTTTTTATTATTATTATTTTTTTAGAGTACAAGGTGGAGATGAAAAAACACAGGCCATTTACCCAAATTACCTTTTAATATGTTTAGGTATCATTTTTGTATATGTAAGTATCAATCTTGTGCATAAATGTATTAATATACTCGTGCAGGCAGGTATATGTATATTTTTTTTGTGTAAATCAAATCTTCAAAATAATTTGCACAAATGTGGTGTGTCAATATATAAAAGTGGTACGTACCTCCGCACAAGAGTGATACTAATGTGCACAAAATTGGTACCTTAAAATACCAAGTGTAGTTTGACTCCTTGACTTTGTGAATTAGTCTCCAAAACTCCATGTTTTTTTATTTTTGTAATTATCCATATATATATATATATTTATTTTTTGTCGAAAGGCACACATATATATAATGTGTGTGTTTATACATCTGCAGAAAAATATGACGTGTGATTTTATTTATTTATTTATTTTTACCTCTTTGGTGCAGGTATCACCACGCCCTGAGCTGGACAAAGCAATGTTTAGACTTCAGAGAAGCACTCTATTGCTACTGATGTAGTTTTTATATGATAAGTATGTTTTAATTTTATGTGTGTGTGTGTGTGTGTGAGGGAGAGAGAGAGAGTTATGTATGAAACTTCAGCATAAACAAATTAAATAAAGGAAGTGAATTAAGTTAAGCATGCCATAAATTGCAGACTTGTTGATTTATCTATATATTGGGAATAAACAAATTCTTCTTCTTCTTCTATGTCTCTGTATATCTGTCTCTGTGGCACGTCTTCAGTGAGGCTTGTCTTCTGTGGATTAATGTTAGTGTGAAGAAAGGATTGTTCAAGTTTCTAAGCCAGCACCGTCAGCTTGGAAGGAAAAGTCTTGGAAGAAAGTCTCTGGCTATTCTCTCCTTAGATTTATGGTTTGAGTCTCACCTCTAGATTTAAATGATGCATGTGATTTGTAGGATTTGCAAACGATTTAAAAGTCTAAGGTGACTAACAAATGAGTTGATTTTTCATTACTAAAGAGAAAAAAAAAATTTAAAATTAAATTCTTAAGAACTTAACAAGAAGCTTTGATACAGTTGGCCACTGAACTAAGTAACTCAGCAATATATTAATAATATATACATTTCTTAGTTAATTAGGTATGAAAGCTTAGCTAATAAATGTCACAAATGGCTCCAATTTTAAAAATAATGTCAAATGTTGGTTAATTCTCTACCTTGTTCACTTCCTATAGAATCAACTATTGGGGATCATATACTGGCTTATTCATTGTTTTTTCATTATTAAGAAATCAATGTGCTTTGAATTTTCTTTTTTTTTACTTCGAACATATATAATCTGAGTTTTATTCGATTAGTGTCGGGGGTTGCTTTGCACGGGTCTCATGAATTAGTTGGGTCAAAGTCTCGGACACCCCGATTATTGAAAATAAAATAAAAAAATCAATGTGCTGGTAGGCCAAAGTTTGGGAACACAATGCATGCACAACTAAAAAAAACAATTTAAATAAATAAATTAGCAATAGAGATTATCTAAAAGTTATTCAGTAATGGAGATTATATATTAGTCTGTGTGAATGAAAATTTAGTTGGGGCTTTAGGTTGATTGAATATGTTGTACGTACACGCCCCATGATTCTGATTCAAAGTGTGCTCCTACCTACAAATTAGGTGAATAATTAGAGCACATTAATGCATCTTAGTAGTCGTGGTGTCGTTCACGGTCAGAGTGTAACGGATTTGGACAATTATCGGTATAAATCGGTCGGGTCGGTTTATAAAAGTGTGTAACGAGATCAGACTCTTAAAAAAAATTACAAGCTGACCGATACGTCGCGTATCAACCAAAAACATAATCTTAGTGAACACTAGCGACGGTTGGGGTTGAAAACTTAATTAGGCATGAGACTAGGGACTACAAAATTGGTCCTTATACTGTTATACCTTCTCAGCAATTCATAAATTATTGCTATTAAGTACACTAAAGAGTAAAGACATAGTTATAATTTAACATTATTTTTAACAAAGTTTATTTATTAAAGAAAAACACTAATTCGGCCAAAGAGTTAACACTTTTACTCTGGGTCCCACCACATGCATCATATGGATGCGAACAATGAAAGAGTCAGGAATTCTTTACACGGGCACCATATTAAACAAAATAAAACAAAAAGAAAAAAATTCTTCCAGCTAATGGTGCAGCAAGACAACAATAGAAGTGTAATGAGTAATCAAAATTCATATGGTATCTAATAATTCAAAAAACAATTATTGTTAAAAAAAATCAAAAATATAAAATACAAATATTAAGGGTGCCAAAAGTTCTATTTTGCATTTTGAATTTCATATGAAGCAAAAATAATAATTTTTTGTGTTCATGTCATTTATTTCAAAATAAAAATATGTTCGGTAACTAATTTGTTGCTCAATGTCCGATAAAAAAATTGTTTGAATTATTTTTAAATTGATATTTACAATTATATTGATTTTGCAAAAAAAAAACGAAAATCTCTTTATAGTTGTTCAACTACAATAACCAAAACAAGTGAAGTCAAAAAGGAAAACAAAGAAAAAAAAAAAAAAAACTTTGAAGGAAAAAAAAAAAAAAAAAACGTGTGATTGACTAATGGGAATGCAATTTTTTTTTTTAAGAGAATAAAAAAACTATTGAAGAAAGAAGAGACAAAATGAAAAGAAAGATAAAATTAGAGACTTCTTTTTAAAAAATAATAATTTCAAAGGGAACTATATAAATGTTATTATATACCTATGTAGAATAAAAATTAATAGGGCACTGCCGTCCTTTCATGCAAAACCTTCTATGGAAGCCTTGACCCTAATAATAGCATTGATCTTTATTAAAAGAGAAATATAATGATACAAAATTTGAGAATTCGATGAAAATTATGTAAATATGGGATGCCCTCATCCCACTCACATAAAAGAGGCACGGTGGTCAAGAAAGAAAAACTGGGCCGACGGTATGATGGAAATGGTAATTGAATCAATGTCTCTGGGACTATGTTCACACTGAAGCAACGCAGGCTTCGTGGTCCGTTGGTAGGGAAGAAGGTTCTATCTGAATAGTGGGGTCCAATCATGTATTGTTGAAGATGCAAGAAAATACCGTTCAAAATTTTTTTCTCACACTCCAAACAATCTGTTGTTCTTTCCTTCTCTAGTTTCTATTAATAGAAGCTTACACTTGCCTTAATTTCTTACATTTTGCCCTTAGGTTGCAGGTTGATGGGCCTTCATCCTTTAAGAGGTGGTCCGCTTACACTAAACAGGCCTCCATTTAAACAGGCCCTGCTTTTATTATTTTTGATTAAATACAACTTGAGCTTGAACTATGAACCTCTCGGATGATGAGCAGCCCAGTCGGTCGGGTCTATTGGGCTACATCTAGCCTGGCCCAGGCCTATTCGCATTTCCCAATTCTTCATGTGCCCCTTTAATTTCGCCATAATGATTAGGGCGAGATTAATGTATAATGATGGCCACGAAGGCTATGATTGGACGTGATGGTGTGGGGGGATGTGTACGGGTGAGCCACATTAGGTGCTTCGGTTTCTGAATCGTCATGATTGCTTTTGACTCCTGACTTCCCCACGTGAAGGCCTTAAACTTCTATAAATTGGAGATGGCTTTGTTCATTTTCCTCTCTTGTCAATGTCAAGTACTTCCCTTGCAATTTCCGTACTATAATCCACAAGCTTCCCTCCGGCAAGAGTCTGTGTTTTCCAACGATCTTCCCTGTTTTCCTGCTTTCTTCGTCTTCAAGGTTAGTTTTTTTCTTTTTGCAATTGCTTCTCTCTTTTTTCAACCTTATTCCCATTACCATGGGCATTAACACCGAGGCCCTTCACCTTCATTGTAACATCCCTAACAGTGTCACCACTCGTCTTTACTCAAACGATGAGAGTGCTATCATCAGGAGGGGCCTTGAAAATGATGAAATCTTGTTTACCCCATCCCAACTCTGCGTGATTAGGTTTCCTCTTCATATTTTATTCCACTCGGTCCTTAGTGTCTTAGGAGAGTAGTCAAAAGAAGCTAAAAGTCAAAGTCAAAAGAAGCTCAAAGTCAAAGTCAAAGTCAAGGGAAATCCGATCACTCGGATTGTGTTTGGACTGTGTTCGGAATCCACTTGTTCGGACTTCTGACCCGCTCGATTGAATTGAAGCCTACCAGGTGCGAAAATAATGTTTTAAGCCTTGATTCAAGGGGGCTTGGGGTGCAATCCATCAGGTGTCCTTGTGCATATATTCTGACCATTGTGGGATCCTAAAAGTCATATATAAATAGAAGATTAACCCAATTTGAATGGGGTTGGACTATTAGAAGATTGAATAGACAATTGGGACACTCTCTCTACATTCTCTCTCTGAGGTTTCTCTCAAGGAGAAAGACAAATAAGATGAACCCAAGTTTGGAGATGGATTGTAAGACCGCCAAGATGACATCTACATTCTCTATGAGTGGCTAGTTCTTCACTTAAGGCTTGAATGAGTCCTAAGCTTGTGTAAGTAAACCTTCTGTCTTTCAATTTTGGGGATTATGAATTGTAATTAATTTTACTTGGTCTTATGAATACATATTTGATTGTACCAAGGTTTATACTTTTTGTAATTGTGCTTAGTGATGGCCATGCATGATTTTTTATTTGATACAATTGCTCTTAGTTTGATGGATTATGCTTAGTCTTGATGAGTTGCGCTACACCTTAGAGTAATTGCAGTTAGGTAGATAGTTCATGCTTGAATTTGATTGTTCATGCTTATTTATTGCAATTTGTATTATCTTATTGACATTGATGTGAGCTTGTAGCCACATTTCTATTATAATTTGTTTTCCCCATTAATTGAGGTATTTGGTATAATTGCATGAGTTTAATGGTGTAATCTGTAACGACTCACTCCACCACATGGTATGATATTGTTCGCTTTGGGCCTGAACCCGCACGGTTTTGTTCTTGGGCTTCACCCCAAAAGGCCTCATACCAATTGGAAATGACACACTTATATATAAGCACTTCACCTTTCCTCTACCCAGGCGATGTGGGACTGTACACTCGTAACTCGCCAGTGTGGTAGCCTGACAGTGTCTCTCGCACCTACTCACGGCACACCCGCCCACAAGGTCATCACAATCCACCCCTTTTGGAGGCCCGACGTCCCCGTCGGCACACTTCCGGCTGGTTCAGGCTCTGATACCATTTGTAACGACCCACTCCACCACATGGTATGATATTGTCCGCTTTGGGCCTGAACTCGTATGGTTTTGCTCTTGGGTTTCACCCCAAAAGGCCTCATACCAATTGGAGATGACACACTTACATATAAGCACTTCACCTTTCTTCTACCTAGGCGATGTGAGATTGTGCACCCGTAGCTCGCTAGTGTGGTAGCCTGACAATGTCTCTCGTACCCGCTTACGGCACACCCGCCCACAAGGTCATCACAATTCTTGGTCGTTGACAGAAGCATCGGAGACAGTGGGTTAGAGTTTTAAATCTAAAACTCAAAGGCAAGTCTTGTTCTTCTCTTTCCCTTTAATTCGTGATCTGTGCATGTTTAGGATGACTCCAGGGATTAAACCAACGTCAAAATGGGTTAAATAAATATCATAATTCATCTTTTAATTATATTTGTATCAACTTTTAAGTCGTTGCATAAATCTGTCGTTGGTTGGAAGTTGTCCTTATTTGAAAATCTGTTTGTATTGATTTTTAAACCTGCAAATCT